TTTTTTTAATTATATTCTCGAAAATGCGAATTTGCACAAAAACCCGCAGTCTAGATATGAAAGATATGAAATCATCTCGACCTCAGAAATTATAAGTTACAAGGAGTGCATCTAATCTACCAATTAATAAAGAAAGTTTGACAGGCATTTCACTTGAAGTTTAAAGTCATTAAAAGTTTAATACATTCCGTATGGAGGGGGTCTGAGAGAATTACAGAAAGTGGAAGTGATCGATCAAGTGATCGAACTATTTTTTGTACATCTCAACAAGAGTTGTCCTGTACAATTCTTTTTTTTTTATCTAACTATCTACGACGAATGATAAAATGGATTTTATCCCGACATGCAACTGTACACCGAAATTTGAAAATAACGTGAGAATCTGCAGCCTCTAAAGTTTCCGAATCGAGGAGCTCGCAAACAGAATTACGTTACTTTTACTCTGCGACGGGGAATTCGATCATTCCTCGTTCGATTTTCGATAACCTGGCGATGTTTGATCTAATACTAGGTTGGATTTACGTATGAAAGATATAGGAAGCAGATCGGAGGGGAATACGAATTTCCGCGCGAATTCCCTGGCCGAGAAGGAGGACTGCGAAAAGAACACGAAAACGTAAACAGTGACTTAAATCACCGTACACGCCTCGGGGAAAGATCGAAACACGGTGTACGTCGAAGGGATACCTCGGCGAACGTGGCGGAATGATGAGGTGTCGCGCCAGAATAGACAAGAAGGACTTTCCGGTCCGCTATTCCATCCCGATTCCGTAATCCATTCCGGATACCAACGGCATCCTGCTCCTTGCTTCCCTCCCTCCCTCCCCCCTTCTTTTTTCGCCGTCGTCGTCCTCCACCAATCGGCCGGCGAGGACGCTTCAGGACACGATACAGGACATCAGTCTTTTCTGTCTTCGCTTCGTTCGGGAGCTGCAGGATTCCACCGAGAAATTCCACGCTCGATTCGCCCTTCTTCACGTTCAATACAACACGCCGTTCTCGGGTTCGCCGCGCACCGTGTCCTGTTTTTCTTTCCTCGGCTTCGTTCCTTCCTTCCTTCTTTCCTTCCCTCCGTCGTGAAATCCTCAATATTCAGATATTCCTTTACGAGAGAGAAGACAACCGAGGAAGAAGACAAGCCAAAGCAGGAAAAAGAGAGAGAGAGAAGGAAAGAAGGTGAAGAAGGCAGAGAAGCACGAACCGAACAACAAGATCAGGACGACGAGAGAAGTAAAGACTACGCGGGAAAGCAAAAGAAAACGAGCAGGTGTGGGTGATCGGTAAAACGAAAATATGAAGCGAACAAAGCGGACGACAGAGGTGGATCGTGCAATGGAAACGAAGACTAAAATTAGAATAGAACCGGAGACTGAGAAAGATAGAGAGAGAGAGAGAGAGAGATCGAGGCCATGGGAAGCGGTAGAAAATCGAAAAGGTGGTTAAACCAGGAAACGGTGAAACGAGCGAGAGAGTCAGGACAGCTACTTGCGAGAGGTTGGGTGTACACCGGGGCTCGCATTCCAAGCAGACTTGGTGAACCGGGTTCATTATTTTCTCGTTATAAGTTTCTACAACTCGAGCTTGTTGTCGTAACGCTGTTAACGCGGACGCGTCGCGAATTGTTAAAGCGGCTGGCGAACGATCGGCTGCCGCGCGTATATATTCGGCGGCTTCCTTAAGCCCCGCGTCACGCGCCGCCCTACCACTTCGCTCCTTTTCATCCTGGCCTCTGCTCAACCGCCGCTCTCATCCCCCAACGACCATCCCTCGCTCTACTCACCCTTTATCCTCTTCTTTTTTCGTTTATTAATAAACGAACCACTGTCGCTTGTTTCTCTCTCTCTCTCTCTCTCTCTCTCTTTTTTCTTTTTCACTCCTCCCTCTAGCTTCCTCCCCTATGCTCTCTCTTGGCTCCCTCCGAGGCCAAGGAGATGAAGAAAGACGGGAAAGTATGAACGAGAGGACGAAAGAAAAAGCTAGCAGTGACACGACGAAAGGCCAATACTCGTCTCGTTGTTCCTTTGCGATACCCAGCGAAATTATTGAACAACCCCGGTAACTTGATGTACTCCCTTCAACTTGGTCTCGAACGATGCCGTTGAAACCAGTGTCTTTCGTAAAGCGTTGCGTTCGACGATGTCATTTCAATAGTGACTTTAATCATACTCTTTTCTACTCGCCACCAGTCAAAAAATGGCGACATTCGCGGACAATTGATAACCAAGATATTCAAGATTCGTGTTACCCTTGTGTACCAAAAATTAAAATCGGAGCGACGCATAGCTAACCTAGTTATGCAAAATAACAAGCTTCAAACTCAAACTATAGTTCGAGAAGTAGGATCAATTAATTTTTTCATTAGGTGATTGCCGATTGATGCAAAATTCCACTTGATGCTCGGATTGATGAAAAATATATAGAATACCAATAAACTGATGAGAGTCATTCGACAATGGCAAAAGAGTTATAAACAAATCGTTGGAGAATTGAAAACGTTGAAACGGCGTTGGAAACGAAGCCAGGCGATCCGATTCGATTCAGACGGTACAAATGAGTGGAGCGATATTAAAATCTACGCGGGCAACAGATGGGCTCTGATAGCTTTACGATGCTCGAGCCAATAACGAAAATCATTAAATTAGCTTTAACCGCCGGTGCACGGCGTACTGTTAACAGCGTACTAATTTTATTATTTAGTAGTGGCATAAAAATCCTGGAATTCCCTTCTCCTGCAATTCCCGATGCAATTTACAAGCATTCAAAGTAATAAGTTCGTCCGTTTGGCTACGTTTTACCCCCCGCTATTACGTTTACAAGCGTACTAATATTGCATATCGTGGCGACATTCAAAAATCAGTTTTAGACTCTGTGTAACCGTACATTTCAAGAAACAGATGCATATTATGAAGAATAAAACATACCTTGCGTTGTTTATGCAAAAATCCACAGCAAACGGAGGATATTTTCTCTTTTTTTTCAACAATATGATTAACGTTACTTCTACGACGCACTTTCAAATATAAACGGCGACAGCCATATTGCGAACAGCTCCCCCACCATAGATTTGGCGCCAATTTTGATTTACCGATCATCGGTAACATGACGACCTATAAAATTCTTTACGAATCGAACAAGAGACAAGATAGCAATTAGTATATACCTCGTGACGAGTATATACCACCACAGACAAGGTATGAATAGACATTGCATTATCATGTATTTTTTCGGCCGATAATAAGGTCCTATCATTGACTAAATTAGTCAATGGTAAGATGCTTGGTTCATTCATATACCTCGTCGGTGCTCGTGCGTACTTCGCTTAAACCACAGACGATATATCTCGTCTGTGCCTGGATCAATGTCGCAGAAATAATATTCATCTGACTTCAAAAGATGGCACTACTAGATACGCTTAATGCTCAGAATGTGGATATGTTTTCAGTCAGTTTTATTCTTATCACTGCTTCGCTTCAAAATTTTGTGAATTATTAAAGAAGATACATTTTTAACATTTTTCAAACGGAACTCAAAACAAATTTCATTCTTTCTTCGATGTTTAATTTTTAAGTGTGTTCGATGAATTACGTAGATGAATTGTGTAGTTGTACATAGTAACAATATATAATATATACGTACGTAACATCTAATTTATCTCATATCACATATGAGATTCGCATGCTATACGCGTTAATATAATTTATTTGTAACTGCTTCTATTTATCGCACGTTCAAATGATGATAATGCTATCTTAAAAAGTAATCGGAATATCAGAATCTTTTAATTTTATTCATTTTTGTAGAAAGTGCACGCACTTTATTCAAAGTGTTAGCCCTTGAACGCTAACTTGAAAGATACTGATATTTGACAATATATAAATAATGTGTTTATTAAGGTGTTCCTTACGGTCTGGTGTAAAAATAATCCAGTATGCTTCTAGTGTCAAATGTAAATCATCTTACACGTTAGTATTTAAAAATTATTTATGAAATTCAATATGTTAACGACTCTGCTAACGATCTGTAATGCAATTTTTGCAGTAGAATTTTACGGGAAAAATGTAAATTGTTTTCCAATTTCAAAATATATTTATTTATTACATATATATTTATTTCAAAAACGAGTTGGAAAATTTTTTAAGTTTTTTTAAGTATAAAAAAATTTTGATCTGTACAATGAAGACAATTTTACATAGTTAATAAAATGTACAACAGTTAATAAAACGATTTATAGAAAAGCATTAATGACCTTGTAATCATATAACTTTTTATTCCCATTATTTCATATTTTTATTTTCATTTATCCATATTTATTTCTAAAATGCAATATATTTCATTCATTATTTTTAAACATATTAATTAAAATAATTAACTAAAATACTCAATTTAATTGAATATTTCGGATAAGTAAATATCGTTAATATTTTGATATTTATACCTTAATTAATATTTAGAAACATGTTACCACCGACGTATGTCGAAGGGTTTCATGATTTGGAAGCTGTTGAAACTATGGAATATAGACCTCTTGGAAAAACTGGATTAATGGTCAGCAAATTATCACTTGGTGGCGGACCATTTGGTTGCCACTATGGGTTAGTATTTAATTTTTATTTAAGATTTAAATAAAATTAATCTAAATTTAGATAAAGGAATTTAAAAATATGTTTATAAAGATATCTTCAGTGTTTAAGATTATCATAATTTATGTACTTTTATATGATAGTACGTATGACGAAAATGAAGCAATTAACGCGATACGTCAAGGAATAAGACAAGGAATTAATTATATTGATACCGCGCCATGGTATGGCCAAGGTCAATCCGAAACTATCATTGGAAAAGTAATTCTATACCTATTTTTTTATGCTTTATGATATATGTATATGAGAAAAATTTTTTCAAATTTTTTGATTATTTAATTCTAGGCTTTGAAAGGCATTCCACGTAAAGCGTATTATATCGCGACAAAAGTCGGACGATATGAATTAAATTACGAAAATATGTTTAATTTTTCCAAGGAGAAAACTAGAAATAGTTTTCTCAATAGTTTAGAACTTTTAGGTCTGGATTATGTTGACATCATACAAGTGAGTACAACTAATTTTTTATCATGTATTTTATTTATCAATTCGTAACATTTTTTACAGGTTCACGACATCGAATTTGCCCCGAGTTTGGATATAGTAATCACGCAAACTCTACCAGAACTATCAAGGCAAATTGCGGATGGCAATGCGAAGTACATTGGTATCACCGGATATCCGGTATCCATTTTAAAGGAATGTATCGAGAAAAGTAATATTAAAATTTCTTGCATACTAAGCTATGCAAGACATACATTAATAGATAACACTTTGTCTGAATATATACCATTTTTTAAGGTAGTATTTAATAAATATCTGTAGTTTTAAAAGTAACATCTATTAAGAAATTAAACAAATATATCATGGTTTTTAGGAACATAATATTGGTATAATTAATGCTTCTGCGCCATGTATGGGACTTTTAACTAATAAAGGTCCACCAGCTTGGCATCCCAGTTCAGAACAAACAAAGAAAATATGTGCAAATGCTGCTGCATGTTGTAAGGTATAAAATTTCAAATGTTTATACAATATACATTATCTTTCAAATAAACTATACAATATACATTATCTTTATTTATAAAACAATGAGAACTTATTTTTGCAGGATCATGATGTGGAATTAGCTAAATTAGCATTATGGTATTCTATGCAATGTAAAGATATTGCCACATATTTAGTTGGAATACAAAATTTAAAAGAGTTGTATATGAATATCGATGTTGTAAAAAATGGCATCACCGACAAAGAGAAGAATATACTTCAAGAAATTCAAGAAAAGTAAGTATATTATTAAAGTCGATAGTTTCTAATTACTAATTAATGATTATTTTATTATTATTAAGTAATTTAATAATAACAAAGATTTTTTTTATCCTATCCAATTATTAAAACGGATTATGAAAACAAATATAGAATACATAAAAGTCTTATTTCAGAGAAGATATAATATAATAGTAAATCTTTTTAAATGTATTTTGCATGCTATATGAAATCAATTATTGAAATTAATTAATATTAATTGGTGATTCATTCTATGAATAGAGCAACATTATACAAAATTATGCATTTAATTCGAATATTAAAATTTAAATTAAATTAATATTTCTTGCCCTATCATTCTATGAACACTGTACAAAATTTTCAATTTTTTTAAATGTAGAATATTATTTTTTATGTAGAATACTGTTTTATGTAAAGTTTGCATATTTAAAAAAATATTTATTGTGTTCTATGTGTCAATAGTTCCCGTTATCAAAGACTTTTAAAGTGCCTGACATAGGATAACATCCTATCTACTACATTTTTATGATACATAGGTTTCCAGACTTTTCTATTATGCTCTAAGTTGATATGAATTTGGTGAGTTTCCAATAATTAAAATAAAAGTTGTTGCTTAACAAATTTATTTGGCCCCAAAACAATAACTCAATTGTAATTGGTAATATATAAAATAATTCGATTATACTTGTGCACAAAATTTGAAAATCCAAGATAAAAAAGAAATTGGAACCTTCTTGTAATAAGGTTATGTGTAAAATGAAAATCCTTTACTTTCTTTCAGATATTTATCTAAAGTAACAGAAAACAATTGGGAAGGTAAAGAACTTCAGGCATACTGGAAACAAATGAAAAAGTGAGAAAAATATATTTTTTTACATATAACGTTATTACATTGTTAATATCACGTTCATATCAGTAACACGTTAAATGCCAATGTATATAATACATTTTTTATTAAAACTATATTTTCTCAGTACTTAATTTTAAATACAATGTATTTTAAAAGAATAAACTATAAATGCAATCATTAGATATGACTTGGAAAATGTTAGACTTATAAAATGAGAATTTGATTCAATATTTAGAAAAATATTGGATTTGATGCTTACTTATTAAGCATTGATCTGCTGTAAACTGGAGGCACATAATCATCTTCACCAGGCTTAATCTGATATGTCAATTCATACATCAACACAGTTATAAGCGAACCCAAAATAGGTTTATGATACATTTGTTGCAATTCAAAACCTTTCTTAAGACACAATTCTCTCCCAGCTTCTGTATATTCTGAGGCAACAAGATTAGCACAACTGTAACCTTCATCAATAGCAAATTGCACAGAAACATTGACAAGATAGGAAGCTATTCCTTTTCTTCTATATTGCTCATGTACATATAGCCTTTTGATCCATGCGCCTTTATCTAATCTATGGCTTTTACATAAGGCAACAGTTCCTACAATTTTCTTAACCTGAGATGAAATATCGATGTTTGAATTACGGAATTGTTGTTCTGTCATTAGGTTGTATTGTACATTCTTTGGATCATGTGTCATCAGATAAGGTTCAAATGCTTCAGCAACCCAAAAGCATGAAAAGGCATTAGACATGTAAATCCTGTCATAATAAATGAAGAAGCTTTTATGTTGATATTTACTTTCATTTAAAGTACTTTGTTTTTATAATACAAATTTTACAGACTATTTTATTAACATATCCTAATTATGAAAAAAAAATTTATAATTTTGATATTGATTTTTTAGCATTATTGTTAAATAATGTGTAAATAAAAAATAACTTTTACCTTGGTATGTTAGAAACTTCTTCACTTACTTCCATAGTTTTCGCAGTGAAAGCTATGTAAGTTCCAATATATACCAAAAAAATGACAAGAGGAATAACTAAAACACAAACAGTTAAAGGCAATCCAAAAAAAATAAACATTATAGCGGCAAACAATATCATTAATTGAAAAGTCAATTCTTTAAATACAATGCCAAAAAACGTTGAACTTAAAGAAGACATTATGCCTGCTTTCACTAACTCTTTACAATTAATTTCATCACCCGGCTTATAACTTCGTATAACTACAATGTGGCTCATATTGTAAAACAATTAATTATTTCACTTTATAACTTTTATACATAATTAACAAACGAAATACAAATCAAACATAAATAAACATATTGTGAGGTTATGATTTCGATATTCTCGCCATCTGCAGCTAATTCAAAACCAAATTACTATGTATATCCGTAGATAATTAATATTAATCATTTTTTAATATAATATTTTATATAATATACATAAAGAAAATTAGTAAACATTTATCTTTTCGATATTAAGTTATTGTATAATAAAATCAGTCATTAATGTACTCAGACATTAACCTTAATTATTTGAAATTAAAAATTGAGGAAATAAAAGAAATACATTACTTTTTATTATTTAATTATTTTATATATATTTTTTGCAAGAAGAAATATTTCGTGTTGCTTGCACAATTACTTGCTTCTTTTATTTTATAATGAACTCTTTTATCATACAAAACTTTACTAAATTAGTTTGTAGACCTTATAATAAATGACATAATTATAAAAAAATTCCGACAACATTTTTTAGTAGTATAAATTATTAAATCTTTGGCAATATTATTAAATCTTTTTTTTTTCTTTAAATTGACAATACATGAATATGCGCCTTTAGGTTAGTAGGAGAGTCAGCGTTCAGCCATTGCAACTCTACTCTAAAGACGCGTTATACGCGAGTGATCTCTACTTCGTTTAATTAATTAATTAACGGAATTATTATTTTTTCATTCAGCATTTTCTGAAGTATCTGATAAAACGGTGATAATCATGAGTGACCGGCCAAGTAATGGTGAATACAAGTATCAAAGGGAAGAAATTGTCGATTCGAAGCTAAACATTGTCGTAAAGGACCGTGATGAAAAGGAACATCAAGTTGACAAAGCCGGAGAATATGTCCGGGAACTTTTACAAGAAAAAGTTGAATTGGATTCGCAAAAATGGCCCAATGCAACCAGACTAATTGATCAGGGTAAATGTGATTGTTGTTCTATTGTCGGTATTCATTATTTTTTTTATCATCTATATCATTTTTAATGGCAGTGTTTATTTTTTCTATTGCAATTATTTGTGTTTATTTTTGTTATTGCAATTATTTGTCATGCGGTATTTGTTGATTTTATTGGATTGAAATCGAATTGAATAAAATATTTAAGGTTAGACTGTCGAATAAACGGAGAACAATTCGCAATTTGTTATTTAATTCGTTATTAATTTAATATTGTTTGTAATATGTAGACAAATTATGTTACATTTGTTAATATGATAAACAATGAATAAAAATTAAGTATCAAGTATTTTTGTAGTAAATAAATTTTACAAAATACGGATGCATTTAGTAAGAAGTCATTAAGGTGAATTTTAATTATTTATCTTATTTCATTTAAATATACAAATTAATTTTTTTTAACTTTTTTTCAATCTGCGTATTTTAAGCATGCATTTTAAGCATACATTAAAAAATATACCATTAAAAATTTATGAAATGCACGAGTTGAATTATTATAGTTAATGTATGTATTTTATAATTTGTTATTAAAATTTTTAGCGTTTTTCAGTTTAATTTGTAATTTAAATTAGTGAATATTAACAATGTATATGTACCTATTGTATATTGGCAATTTCTTGATTATAAAAATAAAAAATACATTTTGATGTTATTTAAAAAATACATGATGTTATTTATTCTTAAAAATCATATTATTATGTAGTCATAGAATCAAGAATAATTGCTTTGTTCTATAGAAATTCAAAAAACTCAAGCCATTGGCAAACCAGTAAGAGATCCAAAATATGTGGATATTTATCGTGAAAAACCAATTCGTGTTTCGGTCAAAGTATTGGTCCCTGTCCGGGAACATCCAAAGGTAGTAGTACTTTATAGGTGTTCCTAATTTAAATAAATATACGACCGATAAGTTATATCTTGAATTCATTTGCAGTTCAATTTTGTGGGAAAACTACTGGGACCAAAAGGTAATTCTATGAAACGTTTACAAGAGGAAACAATGTGCAAAATGGCTGTATTAGGAAGAGGATCCATGAAAGATCGCCAAAAAGTACTTTCACATTAAAAATCTTGAATCCTGAATTCTCGAATTTTCATTTGATTTAGCAATTGTTCTGAA